ATTCTGGGTCTCGCTCTTTCTCTGCCCCTCCCCCACTCACGCTCTGTCTCTCTCTCAAAAATAAGTAAACATTAAAAAAATCTTTCAATGTGCCTGGCACACTCCACACGCTTCGTATTATGACCTGCTTTTCCTGTTATTATACGCCGTTCTGGGGGTTTCTTCCCGCAGTCTCAGCTCCTACACTTCTGTTCGGGGGATTGGCTTGTTCTGGGTCTGAGAATCCACCTGCCAGGCCGATTCTGTTCCTCCAACACCGCACGTCACGGGGTGTCGGCTGGGTCCCCTCTGTGCCTCCCGGACTCCCCACGCTCCCTGCAGTCACACGTCTGTCTCCGACTTGTCTGGGTTTGCCCGCGCACCGCACCTGTGACCACTGTTCACCACGGCGCCCTGCGGGGTCCTGGAAACGCTCCCACCTGACTCGGGCGGGCAGGCGGGTACGCAACACCTCCCGGTCCACGCGCTTCTGTCTGGGTCGGTGCTGCTCGGGGGCTGCGTGTGACGGTGGAAATGTTCCGTATCGGGGGCACCGGAGGTAGGGGCCACTAGCCACGTGTGTCTATCACACATGGGGGATTCAGTTCATTTCAAAGACTTCCGATGTCAGCGATGGTGGCCTCACATGGCCGGTGACTGTGGTGTTAGCGGGTGTAGGTGTAGATGCTTCTGGGCCTACACCTCGGAGAGGGGGCGCCAGGGCACGCGGGCTCGGCTCCTCCGGGGCCAGGGCTTGTCCGGTAAATACCAACAGCCGATGGCATCCGTGAGCGCCCGCTGAGGCGTGAGGTCTGTCCAGGCATCTTACGCGACTCACCGAGTCCTCCTGACGACACTACGGGTGATCGCGTGTATTTTGCGGGCAAGGACACAGAAGCGGAGCGAGACCAGACCCTCCCCCCCGGGGCCACACAGCTCGTGCACGTGGCGTGGGGGGTTCCAGCCCAGCCAGCCAGCCTCGGGATCCCCACCGCGGCTCCCCGTCGCGCGTCTGGAGCCACGCCAGCCGGCTTCTCGTTTTCTTTCGCCGGGCTTCTGCCTCCTGTGCAAGGCTGCCGTTCGCCCTGAGCTGGCTTCCCCTGGGCACGGCCCAGGCTTCTGTGGGCATCATCTGGACACTTCTTTCGCAAGCCACGTCGTCCCCTTGGAAACCGTGGCTTCTGCCCAGAGAGTCTCAGCAGAGCTTCGGGAGGCCATGCATTCGGCCCCCAAGTTGGCCTCAGGGGTGTCCAAGGCCCTCAGAGAGAAACAGGGGAGGCTCTGGCGGCCAGAAGTGTCTGGAAGCATCTTTTCTTCTATTTTTGAGGAAAACAGGAGGGGAGGCCTGCCTGGGCCGTGGGCCCAACCCAGAGGACTTCATGAAACGGCAGATGCCCGGGCTGGGACTTCCCGACCGTCCCTCTTTGGCTTGGCACCTGTCCCCTACACGGAGGGCCTGGTTCCGTGGCGGTGCCCCGAGCAGATGGATGTGACTCAGTGCCTTGCAAGGGGTGGCAGTCCCCGCTGGCAATGGCGAGCAGCTGTGGGTCTGCGGCCAGGCTGACCGTCGGCCTGGGACCGTGGTTAGGACAGATCCTGGCTGGTATAGATTATCTCGGGAAGCCTTCGTTTCCGCATCTGTTTATGGGCACATCTGAGTCCCTTCTGGACTCGGGGGACAGGGCTGACGTGGCAGAAGCCGTTTATTCTCGCCGACGTCCGCGCTCACCTCTCTCCCCAGGACACACTGTAGGGCGTCTCGCGGCTTCCCTCGGAGTCACGCGAGTTGCAGTGACGGAGCTCTGGACAGTGGGGCCCGAGCAGAAGAGCCCCACCTCCCAGGCCCTCCCCTGAAATCTCCAGGTGCGGGCGTCCCCATGCCCTGAGTGAGCAGTGCTTGCGCGGCATTGAGCCCTGTGATGCGGGTGGCTTATCCCCGAAGCCAGGCTGCTCGCTGAGGACAGTCACAGAGGACTCACAACATCCGTGTCAGATCTGTGCTGACAACTCTACCTTTCTCACACACAGTTCATTCGTCCGTGACCTCAGCCGTGGCCAGCACGTTAAGGAACTCTAGCGTGTCTCGGGGGTAAATGACCCAGGGCACATCCGAACGTGCCCAGACGAAGGGAAGGAAAGATGTGTGCTCCCTGCTCCTCACCGGCTCGCCCACTCAGCATCCGGCAAAACACCAAACCTCTTTCTGCTGCATGACGCCAGTCAAAGGCGTAATGCAGATGGCTTTGGGCGGCCTTCCCTCCACAAGATGCCACAGCTGCGCATCCGTGCGAAGGGCAGAGGAAGGACGTGTCCGCAGAGCGAATGCAGGCAAGTCTCCCTAGCGGACGCGGGTCCGGGGTCTCCCAGGCATCACAGGAGGGTCAGGGCAGGTGTAGAGGGGACGCTGGCACGAGGGCTCCAGATCGGGCTGAGCGGCTGTGAAAACATCTCAGCGTGCAGTGGAGCCACAGGATGTAACACGGGGAACCTCACACGTGTGCTCTCAGGAAGTCAACACTTAGGCACGAGAGACCGATTTCCCGCAAGTGCCCGGCTTACGGAAGGCTGATAATATTGGAAGTTTCTGGCAGGGTAGGGCGAAGACTGATAATATTGGAAATTTCTGGCAGGGTAGGGCAGTTGGTTGGGAAGTTGCCTCATACTAGCTTGGGGAAGTTTTATCTATGGTTTTCCAGAAGCCCGAGGGAGGAGTGACCCAGGTCGGGCTGGTCTCTCAAAATATGCTGACTGGACCTTTGTTTGTGGGATGGCTGGTTTTCTCTGCTGCGGGAGGTTTCCAAACTGGTCTCTTTTTGCATTTTATTTTAACGCAGTCTCGCTGAGCTACTCGAGCCTCACATCCCCTGCCCAGAAACACAGCCTGCCCCAAACCCTGGCCCGGAGCCCCCCGCCACTGAAGCGTCTGAATCGCAATCCCTCTGGTATTCCCCAGTAATCTCATCTTTTTGACAAGTTCGATCTTGCCGCGGTTTACCTTTTTATTTAGACGGGCATTCCTTGGCGTTCAGGAGTGGGATGGGGGGTGACGGGTTATGGGAATTTACAACCTCCCAGACCTGCTTTTCCTCCAGAAGCGATTGGGAGGTTCCAGCAATAGAGCCAAACAATCTGAATGTCAGCGCTATTTCAGCGGCTACCTAGAGGCTTCTAAAAGTACCGGGGGTTCTACAGTGCCTCTTCACAAAACCCTATTTCTAAGTTAACTGAAGGCAATAGACAATCGGAAGGGGGTAAAAGTGACAGAGGCGTCTTCCCCATCTGGGCGGCCGCTAGCCACGTTTCTCTGCATCCTCCACACCCACATTTTCTCTTTTTCTGCCTTCCTTCCCTCCTTCACCCGGACTCCCCTTTCCTCTGGTGCTGAAACTTCACCAACAGGGCCTCGTGAAACTCCCCCTTCTAGAATCAGGCCTTCTGAGGATCCCGCAAAACCACGAGTCGCTCAAAACCCATGGACCAACGCTGAACTTAGAGCTGTGGTAAAAGGCTTCCTCTAGGGAAGTGGGGACCCTCATAGATTTGCCAAAGAATTACAGATTGTAATTTACACTTAACTGAGTTGGCTTCTCGGTCTTTATCCGTTGGTCCGCACGCTTGTCGGAGGTCAAGCTCAGCACTGGATCAAAGCCCTGAACAATCTTCAGAATTTTGAGTTAAATCAACCACCAACTCCTTCACATGACCAGGCTCGGGCCATTCACACAAGGCTGCCCCCTGCCATCCCAAAGGCTTTTCATAAACCAGGCGTCTGGAACGAAACTCACACATGCACATAGAAGTCTGCCAAACGTGTTCACGATTACTACCACAGGCTGCAAATTCTTTTTAAAGAAAATTCTGGTCTCCCTGTAGACGTTGAGTCCACCAGGGTGGCCTTTAACTCAATGTTTGTAAATGGTTTACACGTAGATCTGTCCTTGTTAGCCAAGAGAACTTGCCTAGATGGGAAACCAGGTCCACCCCAATCTTGCCCTCCTAATTCATCAGTTAGCCTGCACCCCAAAAGATAATTCCAGCAGAGCACCTAAAATCTTCAATCTCTGACTTCGACAGATGGAATCTCCCCACAGTACTCTGTTATGGTTGCAAAGAGCCTGGTCAGTAGAAGAAGGGCTGCTGAAGATCGGAAAGGTCTGGATGATTACCGCTTTCCAAGAGCCAAGGTCAGATTGGCCCCATTGGCGGGGCTCCTGCAAGACACAGAGACCAGTCCCCGTCAGAAGAAGCTCTTCTCCAGATCCTCTCACTGAGACCTAGTGCCCAGGTCTAGCACATCTGTGAGTGTCCAAAGAAAGTGGCCCACGTGACGGGCGCTGGAGCTGGGGTAGAGTAGCTGAGCAGCCACCCCTCGGGGAACATTGCTATTTGTAGCAGTGGGAAATATTTGTAGGGCGTGGGGAGTGATCCCACGGAGACAGAAGACCGGAAACAAGAGAGAAAGTAAAAAAAAAAAAAAAAAAAAAAAGAGAGACAAGACCCAGGACGCACGCTGAGGAAGGAAAGGAGTTGCCCCAGGAAAGGAGAAGGAGGTGTGTGCAGAAGAATCAAGCGTTGATGATGACCCTGTGATGACAAGGTGGGAGTGAGACTAATTCACCTGCTGCGAGTGCAGCACAGGTGAGGAGGGAGAAGGGCTTGAGGGGAGGAAAGGTACAAAGTAATCCAATCGAGACCAGGAAAACAGTCCAGGGTGGCCCTCAGGGTCGTTGGAGCAGGTGCGGGTCCCCTTCCGTCCTGCACCATGGCGGCACGCCCAGGCTCCTTGCGAGGCCCCCAGTCCCCACCCAGTCTCTGCTGGGGCCACTCCGATGCCCCTGACAGCTGCTCCCACCAGTCCCCACCTCCCCCAAGAACCCGCTGGGCTCCACACCCCTACCTTCCCGGCCCACCGCCTCCTTTTTCTCACGGATGAGATCAGATGAGCAGCGAGCAGATGTGAATGAGCGCGTGGCCCTCATATGGCTCATACAGGGATCTCAAAACGCGGCAGTGCACGTTTCTACTGACTACCTTTTTTGGGAAAGGATTCATGAGTTGCCAGCGGGTATACAAGAAAGTGTTCAAGGGCAGAACTGGTTTACAGAGCCCATGAAATTCTGAGTTTGTCAAGCCATTATTCTCGAGAACTTACAGGGAAAAGAAAATCACTTTCAGTGGGTAATTTCGCGAGATCCCTAACCAGGGTCCCAGACGTGGTGAGAAACTCCTCCCACACGCGAGGCGCCTCGCCTGCCTCCTTGTATTAAGCCGTAGGAAGGAGAATCATTTTCTCCGACCACCTCTTGCATTCACAGCACGGAGCCCTGATGCCAGGAGAGACAGGACGACTCAGCTAAGCACATCCTTGCCCGAGTCAGCAGTCAGAAGGGCCCCGCTTCACAAAACCAGGGAGAACTTGCCTTCGATTCTGTAAAGTATTAAGCATAAGAGACTCTTAAATACAGAGAACAAACTGAGGGTTGATGGGGGGGGGGAGGGGACGGGGGAGGGGCAAATGGGTGCTGGGCATTGAGGAGGGCACTTGTTGGGATGGGCACTGGGCGTCGTAAGTAAGTGAGGAATCATGGGAATCTACTCCCCAAACAGAGAGCAACCGTAGACACTCTGTTAGCTACCTTGACAATAAATTGGGTTAAAAAATTTTTAATAAATAAAACTCTTTTGTTTTACACGGGTGTTTTGCACAACGGTGTTCTAGGCATCGAGCACAGGAGTTTGGACACCTACTTTACAGATGTGTAGGGTGGAGGACTTAAGGTCACCGGCTGGCCCCAGGGGAGCAGCGGGGAGCAGAACAATCATCCCGTAGTCACTTTGGTGGATTGCCAACGCATCCCCCTCCCCAGCTAGCCTGTGACCTCCCTGGGCAAGCACGTCCCCATCCGTTCTTGCAGCCCAGGACCTGCCCTGAAAGCGAGGACTCAGTAGGTGTCCCCAGGAGCTGGCTTCGTGCCCGGTAGCACTCCTCTCTGTCACACGGCTCTCCTGGACGCTCCACGCTCAGCCCATGATGGCGCCACACTCTGGGACCTGACATCACGTGTTTAATGAGGTAGAGTCCTGGCGCGAATGTCTCTGGGTTTCACCTATTTGCCAAATTTGGAAAGTTTCCAGCCATTACTTCTTCAATGTTTTCTCCAGGCTCAATCTCTCCCCCTTTGCCGAACTCCCACGACGCCCATGGAGGATCTTGTCCTTGTTCCACAGGTGCCTGGAGCGTGTCTGTCACGTTCCTCCACCCGTCTGTCTTCTCTCTGCCGTTAGCGTGGGTAAGTTAAGGCTCTGAACTCAAGTTCACGGACTCTGTCACCTTCATTCCCTCCTTCCTCCAGGCCCATGCAGCAGCTTTGGGGGTAATTTTGTGATTGTAGATTGTTCTGTAATTTTCACATGAGGCATTTTTCTATTATTGATTTCTTTGCTGACACTTGAAGTGGCTTCAAGAGAATTCTGAGTTCCCTGTCCCACCAGTTTTAGAACGGCTGCTTTAAGGTCCTCGTCAGACGACTCCGTTCTCCACGTCACCTCAGCGCCCATGTCTGCAGATGGTTGCTTCTCATTCAAGTTCTGGGTTTCCTTGCTCTTGGGGTGACAAGTGACTTTCCGTGGCATCCTGGACGTGTGGGGTCTTAAGGGACTCTGGATCTTTGCTAGCCTTCTCTCTGTGGAAGGCAGACCCCGTTGGGGTGCAGTAGTTACGGTGACCCTCTGGGCCTTCTTGCGCACGGTTAGGGAGAGAATCCAGCTCCCTCCCCGCCCTGCTGACCTCCTTCCAGAGAAAGTAAAGGGTAAGCAGTATGCATGGGAGGGAGCAGAGTGACAATGCCACCCGCCCATCCCACCTCCCTCCTGCTTGTTCCGGCTCCTCCGTGCCCCTGTGCGCAGAGAGGGTTGCTCCCTCTGGGAGACCGCCTGGTTTGGAAGGCAACCCTGGGAGCCACACCTATAAAGAGGGTAATAGTAGGGCACCTGGGGGGGCTCAATCGGTTAAGCGTCTGACTTCGGCTCAGGTCATGACTTCACGGTTAATGGGCTCAAGCCCTGCTTCGGGATCTGTGCTGACAGCTCAGAGCCTGGAGCCTGCTTCCAATTTTGACTCCCTCCGTCTCCGCCTCTCCCCTGCTCACGCTCTCTCTCTCTCCCCCCCCCAAAATAAATAAAAACAACTTTGCAAACAAAAGGTAATAGTATTTAATCCCTAGTTCTGTTACGAGGATCACATGAGCTAAGCGTGATCCACGGATCCCGGAGCTTGTCCGAAATGCAGGATTTCAGGCCGTGCCCCGGACCCAGGGGGTGAGACGCTGCATTGCAACAAGATGCTCAGAGGAATCGGGTACGTATTAACTTAGAACACCCTGATCCAAAGTACTCTCACAAGCACAGGGGACAAGCGGTGGCCTAGGGGGACATGCACGCTGCTGTTCCTTTCCTGCAGACCGTCCCCGCCCCTGCCGCCCCTGGCCCGGCGAAGCGTCTGCATTCAGCCCGGCCTGCGCGGTGTAGGGGGGAGGCTGGTGGCCACCGCAGATGCCGTTAGGGAATCCCAAAGGCTGATGGGTCCCTGCCCCTCAGGCCCTGTTTCAAACGATGACAGCTTTATGCGATGTGAAGTTTCTTCGAGAACACTTTCTTTGAGGATTAATTTGACCTCGCGTCCAACAACGAGTGGAAATGTCCTTGTACGAAATGAGTCAGAATTTGTCAGAGCCTGGAGCGGCACCCAGGTAAGCACATGCCTCCCGCGGCGGACCGACCTCGCACGGTTACAACAGACTCAGGCGCGCCCCGTCCCATCCCGCCGTCCAACAGGACGCTGTCCGAGAGGAAGCCCCGCCCCCTGATCCGTGGGACACTCGGCAAAACGGTGGGGCTGCCGAGCCTGGGAGAGGCTGGCCGCTGCCCCCAAACTGGTGCAAACCCTCCTCCCCACCTTCCACGCCCCTCGGGGGGAGCCCAGCTGCTTCCCCCATCTCTTGCTGCCCTCCGGGACCCTCTGGTCTCTGCCACTTCCTGCCCGTCTGCTGTCTTCCCTTTATATCCTGCTCATCCCCCCCACCCCCACCCCGCATCACTCACTTCTGGGAGGTCTGTGCACAGTGGGGCGGCCGGCCGCTGCCGTCATACCCTCCCGGGGCCACGAAGCTTCCCTGCTTCGTGTTATCTCTGACCTTACAGCCATTTCCTGGCCTACTTCCTGCTTTCTCTGGGGCCGGGCACCTTCCTTTATTTTTCCTTATTTTGTAGCTTCTGGCTTCTGGGCCCTTGGGTTTGCTAGAAAGCGGAATCCCAGGCGGCTGGGGTGACGATAGTATTGTCCCAAATGTATCTGGTTCCTTTCTCCGAGAAGCTCCCGTACATTCCACGCGCGTGACCTCATCGGCCCCAGCATTTCTGCAGAGCGGGGAAGTGACAGGTGTTTACAGGAGGGCACAGGCCTTAGCAATCTCTGCACCGCCACGGGGTGAGTCACAAGGCCTTAAATAGAAGCTGCCGGAGCTGTAACTCAGTTCTGTCTCCCCTCAGTTGATCGGCAAGGGCTTGTTTCACAGGCAAATGGATGTTTATGCCCGTCAGAGAAGCATGGCCCCAAATCTCCGGTGGCTCACCCACAGACATCAAGATAAAAGTTGTATTCTTTTACCCCGTATGATCGGGCCCCATGTGGTATCTGCTTCATCTGCGACAGACCTCTCCCCCTTTGTGAGGCCCTCAGCCCTGGCCTCTGTGCTCCTGCTGAACCGTCTGTAACTCACGGGCCCGTCGCCGCGCAGAGACGTGCTGCCCGCGCCTTGGGAAAGCGGCTGGCTTCACTCTGTCTTCATTTTTTTTTTTTATTCTTTTTAATGTTTTTATTTATTTTTGTGGCAGAGAGAGACAGAGCATGAGCAGGGGAGGGGCAGAGAGAGAAGAGGGACGCCACGTGGGGCAGCACACTGACGTCCCCCACTCACGAGTCAGGGTGACTGACAGACGTTCACAGGAGAAGCGTAGACCCCTTCCCTCACCCGCAGCCCCAACAAGCCCACACCCTTCTGGGAGATCGACCACGGACGACAACCTTCTCCAGCGTCCTCAATCATGTGCAATACTGGATCGTTCAGGCCCCCACAGGGGTTCCTATGACGTAGCTTCCTCCCACAGACGGTCATCCCAGATTGGACAGAACCACCCGCCGCGTCCCCTCATGGCCCAAGTTACTCGGTCCGGGCTGGAGGGCGGCCTTTGCTGCAGGTACAGGAGGGGCAGGGGGAACGGCCGGTGCTCCCTCTGCCCGGCAGGTGCATTCTGGCTCCCATCCCCCCCCCGCTACACACCTCTGGACCCAGGCCACCTGCTCTCCTGGGAGCCCGGAGGGATCTTTCTACGGTTCTGCCTATTTTGTGATCACTACCTTCTATTTCCATTTCTTCTTCCCGTCAGAGTAGCTGCCTTCCTCCAGCTGTGAAGCGGGAGGTCATTTCAGCCTCGGGCTGATGAGGAGTCAGTCCCACCCTGCGCGGTCCCTCGGCCAACAGGCCACACACAACCAAAGATGCAGGAACAAAGGACGCCTCCTGCTGGGTGACAGGCAGTCGGTGGGGACGGTTGCCTTCCGCGGGCGGCGCCTCTCGATGCTCACGGCGAGCACCGTCCCAGAGGACGGCAAGCGGTGTGGGGTTTGGCACGCCCGGGGACGGAGGCGAGCTCGGTCCCTCGGCCCAAGGACACACATCACTTCAGGCATCGCGTGTCCTGATACGGCAGGACCGTCTGTAACGCTGGCCGCCGGGGAGGCAAGTGTTAGGGAAACAGAACGCTCCCGTACGCCAGGACATCTGAGGGGCCCGTCCCCACTCTGAAATGGAGACGCCTCACGGCACCTCAGCCGCTCCAGCGACGGGGAAAAGGAAGACCGATGAGCCGCGAGCACAAGACGCCGAGATGGGGGCAAGACTCACACCTCACCGGTTCTCGTGATTCTGAAGTCCAGTGAGGTGACTGGGTGAACGCGCTCGCAAATGACAAGGCGCCGCACAAACGCAGGCCGTGCGGAAGCTCCCTCCGGCTTCGGAAGAGCAGAGCTTGGCCGTCGTGAGATCTCGGGCCAGCGGGGCTGGCGTCTGGCGTCCAGCCCTGTTAGTGCGTGTCCCTCCTGGCTGCCCAGGCCACACCGGTCCCTGCGGTGGGCACGTCGCTCCTCCCGGCTCTGGCCCTCGGCTCTGACCTGCTCCGTTTCCAGCAACAGACTCCGTATAAGAGGCGCTCAGCGAGGGCCCCGGGGGGCCTGTCCTGACACGGTGAAGCCCGCCTGAGTGGCACCAGCTCCGGTCTCCAGCGTCCCTGAACATCTTCGCGAAGGACCAGAGGAGAAGCAGCATCCAAGAAAGGGTCCGTTTAAACAGCTGCTCCTACAGATTGTAGCCGGTCGTTGGGGGTGGGAGCAGACGCGGAAAGTGGGTCGTTGTCCGGCCAGGCTCCTTTGCCGAGGCACATCTCACTTGAACCCCACGGGCCCCTCGCCCTCTGCAGCGAATCGTTTGCCGCGTCCGGCAGCTGCCATTGATCAAAGCACGTGGCTCCCCGCCAGGTGGGATCACGTACGGTGAGTATTTATTTCTGTGCAACTGGATTCCAGCCAGTGTGACAGCACAGAAGAAAAGTGAATGCCTCTCTCTGTCCAGTGGGGTCCAGTGGGGTCCAGCGGGGTCTAGTGGGGTCCAGTGGGGGCATGGTGGCCCCAAGGGCAGCTGGGGCCAGGGCAGGCTGTGCACCTGCTTGCGAACGGCTCCCTGAAGAGCTGGCTGGTGAAGTCAGAGTGCAGGTTTGTGGGTCCTAATTCCACCGAAGGATGAGTTGGTGACAGGACTTCGAGTCTGGGATTTGCAAGGCGACTTTCCCGTGCCCCCTTCAGGAAATGTGACTCAGTGGCCAAGCTGGTGTTGGCATGGCTCTCCCTCCCCTGTCTCTCCCTCCCCCGCCTCCCTTCAGATGCTGCCTGTCTCTTGCACGCTCAGGGAATTAGGGCTCCCCTACGACGCGGACGGCCACTGGAGCAAGAGATCCAAAGGCATCTGAGTTTAGAGTAAAAACAGCCCAGAGCCGGGGAGACGGGTGGGTGGTAGGATTCGGCGGCTAACGTAGAGTCGGCAGGAGAGGAACGCTCCCAGAGGGTGTGGCTCGTGACCCAGAGTGTCTCCTCCGACCAGATGCTGCCTGGAAGATGCTCCCAGATTATCTCAGGCTTTCCCCCCCCCCCCCAGTCTCCCGGGGATGACAGATTCTACATTTGTGTGCCTGAGGTGGACCCCTGACATCGGAGACGCATCACCGCCCCCCGTGTGTCTACGAACGGGTCGCCGCCCGCGGGAGCAGAGCCCAGGGCCAGTCAGCCCACCGGGCCAGGCAAGAAGGTGACGTTCACAACAGGCTTTACAGGGAAAAGACGTTTCTCCCTCGCGTGACGTCCCTTTGGAGGTGTTTCTCCTTGCTCGGACGCCAGTCGGCAGTCAGGAAACGAACTTCAGTCTCAGAGAGAAGATTCTCCAGGTACTAACGTCTTTTCATGTTTGGACAGTTAAAACAGGAGGGGGTGGACCCAGTGCTCTAGTAACGGGGAGGGGGCAGATCCCTCCCAGCCCCCGTGTGTGCGTGCACTTGTGGTCGATGACCCACGGAGTGACTAAAACAGAAACATTCTGTCTCGGCACGTGACGGGGGTCAGCTCAGTCCGCTCACTCGTGCTGGGGACAGTCGGGTCAGAGGGCAAGGCCCCCGCCTCTGTTGGTGCCGCTTCCCTAGAAACGTGGAGTGGCCTGAACTCAAAATTGTCATAGCTCTGCCAAGCGTGACAGTGGAACGAAATGCCCCCACTTGGGACCGCTCGGGGTCCAAGCCCCTTCCAAACGGTCCTTTCCCAGTCTCCCGCAAAGACCCCACAGACTCAGCCACTTCTCTCCTGTGAACTTTCTCTCCCCTTCCTTTTCCTGAGTGCGCCGCTCCCCGAGGACACCGCCTCCCCAGCCCCCCTCTTGCCGTGGCTGCGAATCGTCTCCCTCCTGCCCTTAGCTTGGACCGAGGGGCCAATGGTTCTCTGCAGGTGCTTTGCTACTGCTGGCAGATGGGGAGCCAGCCTCCAGCCCCCGGGCAAGGCTGTGATTCCCGTGCCCCCTTTCTTCCTCACCCACTAAGGCCAGGCTCACCCCACAGGTTGACTCGGAAACGCACCTGCCGGTGGGGCCGCTCAGCCTGACACACGGTGACTTCGGCACGTACAGTGGAGGGACGCCGTATAGCCGTCATGATGACAGAGCCGCTGGCCGGCTCCTTAAGTCATATCTGTTCAGGGAGAAGACACCATGACTTTCTGTGCTCTGTCTCCACCTCCCTTTTAGGTGAAGCTGCTACGAGACCCAGCTGTGTGAAGGGGCGCTTCCCTCGGCCTATCTGTGCCCCTGATGCAGGCCCTGTGGACCTTGTCCTCTCTATCTGCCCAGAGGGCCTGTTACCTAGCCAGTACCCAAGGGGGACGTGATCAGACAAGACACTGCCTGCACCAATGTCAGTCTTTCCGGCTGCGGAACAATGAGGCCTGAGAAATTAAGCCACCCTCTGGCACTGTGTGCATAGGCACCTCCCCGCCCCGGGGGTGCATACGCTCTGGAAGGGACCCGCTCCGGGAGCACCAAGTCTTTACTGGCACGTTCTAGGTGACATCACAGTGCTGGGCTCTGGAGACGCGATGGCGAATGAAAACAGGCCTGGTCGGGGGGGTCATGCGATGACCATGTAGGGAGACAGGGGAGGGTTGATAGCAGACACGCGATCGGGGAGTCCGAGGTCGGAAGACAGGGGTGATGGCGTGTCCTGGGGGACAGGCGATGAGGACGAGAGGAGAAGCAGCATGAGAGAGACTTTCTAGGCTGGAGGTTTGGCTAGGAAGGGTGAGGGAGAAGGGGGTACCAGGGAGGGCCTCCAGGTCTCTACTTGCGTAGCAGGGTGGGTGTGGGCAGCACACGGTCCAGTGCGGAATGTGGGAGGGTAACAGGTGTAAGGGGACAGATCGCAGTGTGGTCTTCAGGCTTCCTGCGCTAAAGGAGTCTTTGACCTAACTAGGTACTGAAGCCTTGCGCATTCCAGACTCTGAGGATTAGTCCGGCACGGTGCCAACGTGCACATAGTCTGCAAGTCAATGATAGTTGAAGCCAAGAGAACACAAAGGTCTGCAAGTCGCCGAAACCTCGACCTGAGGCGATGTGGACAATGGAGGTGACTGTTGGCTCACACACGGAGGGCAGAATGGCTAGGGGGTTGGTAATCCCACCGTGACCCAAATAGCCCATCTTTCTATCTCTCTGCTCTGTGTTCTCAACATTTCGGCCGGGTGTGCAGGATGCGTAGGGCACAGGATGGCCGGAATCGAGCCGCCTTCCCATCTCAGTTCAGCAGCCGAAAGAGAAGAGGTCCGCTCCTCCAGGGCGGTCCAATCAAGATTCAGGAAGATGGTTCCCCATAGCCATCCCTGCAGAGGCACGGCTACGTCCCAGTGGTGAGGGCAGATGCCAGACTAGGGAGGGTGACCAGCGCCTGGGGGTAAAAAGAGGAGAATTAAAAGTGCAGACAAGTCTTGTGAGAAATCCCTGGAAATGCAAAGTTGGGAGATGGTGCCTGTAGAGTTTTGTCATTTTGCTCCTGTTTCCGTTTCGTAAGAGACGCTTGAGGCTGCCTCGCATTTTCCTGCAAGAACCCAGCTGAGGATGTGAGGGGACAAGGGTCCCCAATACTGGGTGGTATTGGGCGGAGGGAGGCACTGAGTGGCTTTATAGGAGGGCAGCTCGTCTCTGGATAACAAGGGGAGGAGGCAGGTTGTGTGACTCTGCATGGGGGCAGGTGCGCTGGATGTTTAGGGGATAAACGATTTACCGTCTGGTGGCTTCTACCTTTCTCTACCAAGGGGGATAGGAGAACATCAGAAGAGAACCCACCGACACTGGTGGGTTCCTTGCCTGGGCTCCCAATAGACGTCATCACCATTTCTCACCGTGAGTTCTGAGCCATCTGGCAAGTCAGTCAGAGGAACCAGCATCTGCGGCCAAAACAGCACACGCGTGGCTGATGAGGCCGACCTTGACGACGCGGTGTGTGTCTGCAGTCAGGTGGGCTGGCTGATTCTCAACCAGGAATCAGTTGACTTAGGGAAGCAGTGATGTGCTGGCAGGGGGAGCCCACGCCAAGATAGTTGAGGCAGACGAGGTGGCCTGTAGTCATCCGAACGGACAGGAAGTGCTCAATAAATGGCAGAAACAGGAAAGTTTGACCCCAAAGCTCTGAAACAATTCAGAAGACATTATCTAGATTAGCGCCAAGATCACTCTGTGCCCAAGACAGAGCCATTGTACCCGTTATGCGTGCCTTCAAATAGTTCAGCAAGAGTCCTCAATAATACGCAATAGAAAATGTAAATGCTCCGCAAATAATTTGAAGAACTCTAGAAATATCCCAGTTTAAGGGAACATTTCCTCCCATCGGCATGTTCTTCAGGAGAAATTAAATTCTCTGACAATTTCAAACCCAAAGACCAAAGGAAGTAAAGACCAAAACCAGATCACCTTGTCCTCGTCATTGAAAAGTGCAAAGAAACTAAAGTCCCCCTCAGTACCTATTCTGCTTGCTACCAGTACACGGATCTAGGGGCCTGAGTGCCATTCATTTGCGTGAAACCGGGGCTGTCTCTCACTGGAATTGATGTAGAACCTTGCAGACCTCAGAATTTGCATTCCCCAGTGCCAAACCCATGACGTGGCTCCTTGTGGAAAAGACGAAGGGCTTATGGGACACCCAGGATGATCAAGGATCTGGCCTCACACTCACCAGATTTAGCAAGCCGGTTACCAGCCCCCGGAACAATAACCCGTATTTCTGCAACCATTCTGCATGTCCCAGAAGCCCGCATTTAGTTTTGTTGGACACGGGGTTGCCTGAGGAAGTGAGTCCCAGGCAAGTCTTGGTTCTTACCTCATCAGGAAGACCGTCAACGTGTCAGCTGCCCAACGTGCACCCCCGATAAACTCGGACGCAATTGGGAGAAATGCCATAGTTCATTCTGATACAGCACATTTGCCAAATCTAAAAAAAAATTCACCCATGTGAACGTGGTAGCCAACCTCCAGATGACCCTCGCTGATCCTTACCTCCTGGTCTTCACAGTCATGGACATGGGTCCCTCCCACAAAGAATCAGGGCTGACCCATGTGACCAACAGAAAGTTGCACAAGTTGATTTCTGAGTCTAGGTCATAAAGGTCTAAACCTCTGCCTCGACCTCTTGGATAGGTTGTTCTGGGAGAGAAGCCAGCTGTGATACCCATGAAAATGGTTAAAATCTAAAAACAGAACAAACCAAAACAAAACACACCTGAAAATGAAATGCGTGTGAAGATGTTGAACGACACAACTGTCGTTCGCTGCCGGTAGAAGATAACCACGGGACTACGGTATCACTGGGCAGGCTTTATTTTTCATTGAGATGTAATTTATGTGGAATAAAATGCACAAAGCTCAGGAATACAGTTTCATGAATTTCGACAGTCGTATACACCCATGTAACCACCACCCCGATCGAGCTGCAGGCCATTTCCCTCTCCCCAGAAAGTTCTCTTAAGTCCCTCCCGAGGCAACGTTCAATCACCCCCTCCGGCGGTAGCCATCATTCTGAGCGCTCCATGCATTGATGAGTTTGCGGGATGGAATCATCATACAGCACACGCTTTTCTGTATTTGGCCTCCTTCGCTTAACCTCTGCTTTTGACATTCACCCATGCTGAAGCTGTGTGTTATCAGGTGTTCTTTTTAATTCTTACTTTCGTGTTGAGGTCCCTTGAGTGGATCGGTTTATCTGTTTTCCCGTTGATGGATATGTGAGTTGTTTTGGGGTTTGGGTTACAATGAGTACAGCTTCTCCTCTATCTCATCATCCATGAGTCCATCTCATATCGATGGACAAGTTTTTGTGGAGGTACACATTATTTTCTCTTAAGTATACACCTGGGGGTCAGTTCCCAGCCCACAGGATACGCAACATGTTTAATTTTACTAGAAACTTGCAAAGAGTTTTCCCAAGCGGATCTAGTGTTTTCATTGTCTCGGGATGTGAGATCTGGTGGTTTCCCTCCTCACCAGCACTTGGACCTCCGGCCTTTTGTAGGTCGGCCATTCTCGTACGTGCAATGGCGGCCACTGTGATTTCGTTTGCCTCTCCCTGGTGCACAGTGGTGCTGAGCACCTGTCCGTGTGTTTATTGTCCGTGGGGATAGCTTCCTTGGTGAATGTCTAAGTCTTGTCTGTTTTACAACTGGATTTTTTTTGTCATTCGCTTGTTGAAAGGTTCAAGTTCTTTGTCTGTCCTGGATATGATCCCTTTTCAAACATGTGGCAGGGTACAATCAGGATGTTCTTTGGAGTTGTTGATCACCAGTCTGCAGTGATATCAACCTACTTTGTTTTTGGTTTTCTGCGACTGTCTTCATTTCGTGGCTGCACAAACAGAGCAAGTCAATATTTGGGTTCGCCCAGGATGGAGGTGTCCTGCCTATCGGGTTTGATAAAAAGCAGGTCAAGGGAACTCAGGGTATTAGCAAATGTGTTACTGAAAAAAGAACCCATGGACTCTAATCAGGCCACATAGGGAAGTCACAACAGAGAGCGAGTGAAGGGAAGTGAGTGTCAACCCAAGATGGCCCTAGCGGGAAGAGTGGTACAAGCCTACGGGACGTGGGGACAATGTGGCCAGAAAGTGCATACTGGAGTTGGCAGTGATGGGGGTGAGGGAGCAGGAAGTAATGACAGGATCTAAGTGACGTTGTCAGCGGTAGGTCGGTATCTCAGTTGGATGGGACAGCTGGAGATGGAAGGTAGCCGAGCGTAAACCTGAACCTGTTTGCGCATCTTGCCAGACGCATCCTTGGTTTTCCTGCCCCGGGAGCCGACACAGGGGCTCCCGGGGTGACGGGCGAAGGTGGGCGGGCCGACCGCCCACATCAGCTCCTTAGGGCACCATCTGTGGGGCCGGGGACATCCTACCTCCTTCCAGCCCTCGTGTCTTCCCTCTGGAATGGGAAGAGGGGCTGCCAACACAAGGGCCGTCCTTGTCCCTCTCCTCATCCACGTGCGTGTGACCTCTGGGCCACATCGCCTCTGTGGAGTTCCCAGCTCAGCTGAGACAACAGGCACCATGACAGTACCAGCCTGGACCACCCGTCGCAGCTGCACGTTCTGCAAAGCAGTGGCTCGCTGTGCACCAGGGGCTTTCCCTGCGGGTCCCAGGACCATAGGTACTCGCTGCCCCTTGAGCAGACTTCTGGGGACAGGCAGACCGTGCACTGCCCTTGCTTGCAGCGCTGGACAGAGCGGCAAACAGGACAGCCACTGTGATGCTGTGATTTGCAGTAAGAAATACTTACTTGGTTTTTGTCCCCACTCGTGGCACAGAGCTCCCGAAACCCTTGGAGTTTCCCACATGGTGAGAGCCACGGAGCTGTCCTGTTACGTTAACGAGGTGGCTTCGGGCACCCCCCCCCTCCTGCAAGGAGGGGGGCTGGCCACCAAAGGAGCCAACCACGTGATTAGAAGGTTGGAAATTTCAGTCCTACCCATGACTTCTGGGAAGGGGTGGGGGGCTGGGGGCTGAATCACTCACAGTGGTCAGTGATCTAATCACCATGCCTACATAATGGAGCCTCCGTAAAAACCCAAAAGGACCGGTTCACATAGCTTCCAGGATAGTGCGGTCGGGGAGATCCAGGGAGAGTGGCAGTACCCAGAGGGGGCATGGCAGCTTAGCACCCCTTCCCCATGCCACCCCCTGTGCGTCTCTTCATCCAGCGGCTCCTGAGTTCTGTCATGTTATAATCAATCAGCGATCTAGTAAGTAGCATGTTTCCCCGAGTTCTGTGAGCCTCTCTAGCCACTGGAGAAGCCCAAGGAGGTGGCCATGGGAACCTCCGGTCTGTAGCCCCCCGCCTTCCCCAGTCTGAAGCTCAGGTAACAGCTGGCATCTGGAGTGAGGAGAGTCATCTTGTAGGACTGAGCCTTGGTGTGTGGGATCTGACGCCGTCTCCAGGGAGACCGTGTCGGACGCGAGCTGGATTCTCGGACACCCAGCTGGCGTCCGAGAACCGCTTGGCGGTGTGGGGAGACCCCGACGTACCCACACACGTTGGTGTGGATGCAGAAAGTGTTCGTGCAGAAGACGGTGAAGGACAGAACACCATCGCTGAAGGGCAGGCAGTGGAAAGAGTGAAGACACAGCAGGTAGGTCCTCTCAGAGGACACAGCATTGGGAGAACCTTCCAGAAAGCCCTGGGAAGAGGGTGCTCCTGTGTGAGGGCCGGGCACAAATGAGTCCATGGCCGGAAGAAGGTCAGGGAGGCTTGAGAATGTCATTCCACATGTGAGAGGGAAGAGGACAGGTCTTGGGGAATGGGGGGCTGGGAGGGAGTCCAGAGGGGCTGGGAGAGCCCTGGCAGTGGTCGGAGGTCCGGAGGAAGGCGTGGTGTGAGTGGGGGTGGCCCGGGCTGCGTGGACAGTCCCCTAAGATGGCAAGGCAATTTGTTGTCCCGTCTGTGTGTGTCCTCATGCCCCGGGTCACAGTGGACAGAGAAGCCACAATCCGGAACATGCCTGTTATTCACCAGGGGGAGTCGGGGGGAGCCCTGAGGGGTCTTTACTGCTGCTCTACTCCTGGGATGCTGATGGGGCCCACCGTCTGCCCCCCCTATGGCACAGCGGGTGCCCAGGAGTGGGGACTGAGTCATGAGGTCCCATCTGGCCCGAGTGTCAGCTCTGAGACCAGAAGTGGGGGATCTGAGGTCTGCTCTGAGGGCGGCGGTGACAGAACCTGCCGGGGCCTAGAGTCAAGTCCCAGCTCCTGGGTGTAAGTGCAGGTGTCCCGGGAGGGTCCCGTCCCCCAGCGCTGTGCCTGGCACCCCCACCTGGCCGGCACTCTAGTGGACGGGGCGTCGCTGCTGGGACAGCTGGTGACAGTGAGCGTTTCCTGAGAACACACTTTGCCAGGGAAGGGCGGCTTGGGCTGGGGAGGTCAGACCTTTGTGTGGCCAAGGTCAACCATCCTTCCCTCCGAAGACACGTTTTTAAGTTGTATTTAAATGAAGTCACGACCATTGGCAGCTGGAAAGCCTCCCATTGCTGGATTCCCCGAGAACTTCTGTGGGTGAGACTGTAGAGGAGACCCAGCCCAGAATCCTGTCGTTTCCGAAAGACAGACTCCCTTTGCCGTTTAGACATCGGCAACAGCCCCGGCTAAACCTCTCGGCACGAGGCTTAAGCCTGTAGCTTCTGAGTCAACAAGGGCCTCTCCGAAAAGCATCCTGGGAATGCAAGGGGGAAGGAGGCCGGTGTGGGGCCTCCGTCCCCCAGCTCACACCTGGTCACCTCTGTCCCCCGGCCCACGGCTGCAGGCTCAGCTCTGTTGTTCCTAAGGACCCACGGTCAGCAGTTCCGCCTACATACCTAGAGACACCAAGCTGGCATTTCTGGGGAGCCCCAGGTTCATCCTTTGAAGACATTTTCATTGAGGGTGTGTGTGTGTGTGTGCGTGTGTGTGTGTAAAATCACAACCTGGTGATTCTTCGCAA